AACAATTTACTGAGAACGTAATCACTTCGGTAATACGGGTTATTTGATTTGCGATGTCAATTCAGGACAATAACATCGGCTTTCGACGAAAAGAACCACAGAAATCTTCCGTCCACATGAGAACAACTCGTTTCATGTCGGCGTATTTCTTTAAACTACTTCCTTATTCTTCATCCAAGATAAAAAGTAGTCTGTTAATATTATTAAGTTAAATTTTAAATTTTATATTTTTTGTGAAAAGGAAATCTACTAGTTACACGAATGAAATAGTAAGCTCAGATTCTTGGTACAAATATTGCGAATTTACATAATTGTTATCAATTGATAAGGCAGTTGGAAATATAATTGGTATATAGTAATGACTTAATATTGATTAAATCAAATTGAGTAATATTTTGCAGTAATATTTTTGATGTATAATTGTTTATAAATTATTTTTTCTGAGAATTGATTCTGATTAATTTAATTTACTGATGTGCTAATAAAATTTAATAAAAAATTAATAATATATTTTATCAGATATTTTTTATTAGATCATTTACAATCTTTTTATAAATGATTGAAATATTAATATCAGTTTTAGCCACATACTTAATAAAAATAAAAGAACTAACTGCAAATGAACAAAGAAACGCTTGTATGTAGATATACTAGCTTAAGATTTGAAAACTAGTCTATTTGAGAAGTGTATCATAAAAATATGAATGCAACATGTATATGTACGTTTATATTATTTATAACCTTTTTTTTGGGACTCAATTCCTACAACGAGATGCCATAAACTCATGATTAACTCAAAATATAATAATGCGCATCTATTTATTTATCAAATTATTTATATTAGTATGTAATTTATATTAGTATGTACTACCCGACAACGATGTATATACACTTATAAAATGTTAAATGTATGGAAATATTGGCACAGATTATTACGATGTCTATAAAAACAATCGCGTCTTTCACTAATTAATATCTGAGAAAAGTTCCCCCGAATATAAATTACATCTTTTGCTGGAATAATATTACTATAATTTTATAGTAATATATGATAAATGTATAAACAAAAAGATTACACTAATTAATCAATGAATCTGATTGTGAATATAAATTTCGTAAATATATGCGAATATTAATTACTTAATTGAGAAATGCTCATTCAAGCAATAAAAATAATGAATTATTTACTTACACTTATTTGAGAAATATGCATTTCTTAGAATGATTTATTCAACTAACATAAAAATTAATAACATATTAAATTGACATCGTTTAAAAAATTACGTAAAATTTATCAAATAAGTTATTTTATAGTTTATGTTCTGAATGTCTTTTTCTCACTCTGAAATTACTGCCATTAATCGTAAGAAACTCATTTTAAAGATATTCAAAGAACAGTAATGACATTGATTGGATGATTAAAAATAAGGATGATAATATAATTATTTCTTCTATGATTTCGACATTATAAAGTATATAGACATTAAATTATTAAGTCAAGAATATTGTATTAAACTTTTGTATTAACTTTTCTGAGAATTGATTTACACCAAAAAATCCAATAGATGCAGAGTGATCATTTAAAATTATCATTATTGAATTCCATAATGAAGAATAAATTGCTAAATATATGATAGCAACAAGAATGACATCAAACAAAAATTGTAAAACATTGTATTGTTGTAATATGAAAATGTAATGTTGTTAATATAAAAATCTGATTCAAATATAATAGCTCTTATACGCGCATCATTTTTTATTTTTTTCATATTCTAATCACAGATTTTCTACATCCCACTATAAAAAGTCTCTTAATTTTAAATTACATTTTATCAGCATGAAATAGCTGCAGCACATGCTAATAGACGCAATCTAAAATTGGGTCGAAGTAGAAACAGCACGACCGAACGCTATTACCATTTCAATGAATGTGATATCGATAGCGTTACGTTAATTACAAATTCCTAATCCACCTACTAGTTTCAAATGAGGCGTGTATTATGTCACACGCGGTTCGTTACGTTTAATTTAGTGACAATCAAAGAATTACATTTCTAAATCACCGATTAATCGCTCATACAATTGTGCTCTTAAAAAATGAATATTCCGCTTTTAGAACATTCTGAAATGTTTATTTAAAAATAAAAATAAAATAATTCATACCTGATAAAAAAAGTTCATGTATCAAGGTAATGAAATGATGTTACAAATATTGTAGAAAACAATACAGAAAACAATTAAACTTTTTATATTAATTACAAGCTTTAAAAAGAAAAATTCAGACTGAGGCTTATATATTTTAAATCCATTTTTCTTAAAAATCGATTTTTATGAGATAGAAGAGTAATATTTAATTAAATAATTTAATAGTCAATAGTTTTGATCAACATAACTAAGTTAAGAAGTTAATTTTCTTTTAATTAATAATCTTATATAATTAAAATAATTCGCCCAAATTATTATATTGTTTTAACGATAAATTGATCGTTTATACTTGTTTATATAGTTTATATTTGTTAAAGAATTCTTAAATTATATTAAACAATATTCAAATTATATTTTAAAAAATTAAATAAAAAGTATATCTAAAGTCATGTATTATCTTGTATCGTATATTAATTAGCACGCAATAGTATGTGTGGCGATTGGTTCGGCGCGAACGATAAGAGGTAGTACAGCAACGGACAGTCGTCGCTACAAGACGTCTCACGATCAAGTATCCTCGTGGCATGATAATATATTCTTACGAAAAAATCATAAGATTGTGCAAAATTTCAAGGTAAGTTTCGCGGGATATTTTAGTAAAATAGTAAAATTGTAGAGATTAAGAATGATTCTACTTTCCTACTTTTCTATATGAATCTCCTTTTTTTATTTTGATGAAACTTAATAGAAAGAGAGAGAAAGTAGAATTTAATGATTTTTATACTAAAAACTTGACTGTCGTTTTATTAATATAAACGATTCAATACCACAAATTTTTAATACTTTATAAAAATCCTATGGAAATGATTATATTTGTTGAATATGATTATAATTGTTGAATATTTGTTTATAGAATATGTATACTTATTCTTTTGCGTTTACATGCATATCTTTATGTATTTCATAATTTATTAGAATTTCAATATAATTGAAAGATATAATTTTCCATCTTCAATATCACTTTGATATCGTGAAACAAGTATTGTAAGTTATATGAAAAGCTCTGCTAGCGTTTTGAATTATTTTGGCTGGATTTATGAATTCAGACATGTGTCACTTCAACCCCTCTTTCGATCAGTCTAATTCCTCGCATTTTCTCATCACTCTTCTAACCGTTTAACTCATCGATCATATTGAGTAATATTAATTAAACCATGGCGAAAATAAAGATTACAATGTAAATCCAGTATAAGGAAAGAATAACAAAAGCGCAAATTTTTTAGGAAACATAAATTAAAATTAATGAAAACGTAAAAGAAGTATTGTACTTCTGAAATGTTTGATGTTTCTATTTAAGCTTCTTAGAAACATTGTTCACGTTTTTGTCTTATCTTAATGATTGATGAATGATTAATGAATGATGAATTATCTTTCTCTTATGCTAGATTTATACTCCAATGTTTATTTTCGCCAGGAAACCGATGAGGAATGTATCCACGTGCGAGTGTACAACGGGTGCACTAAACCATACAATAATAATGCGAGATAAGAATCGTGTCTTGCAGCATTAAGGACTACGAAACGAAGATGGCATATGGGAAATTGCACGTACTACCATTGATTCTCTTTATCTTAATCCCCGTGACATTTGTGATTACGTAAGTTCGTAATTTTTAAACGATGGAAAAATTATTGCATCACATTATTATTAAAAGTATAATAAGTGCATTTGTTAAACTATATATAATATTAATTTTTCTAACAAATCTAACAAATAAGTTTTAATACCTCTTCCTTATATACTTAATTATTTCTTCTCAGAATACACTGCTAGATATAAAACAATATCTATACAACATTCGTGGAATTAAATTTGACTATTTTAATCACTATTGATAATGAACATGACGAAATTATACTTTATTTTCAGAACCTTGAAGTCAGTGAAAAGAATTCTTCATTTGATTTATTTAAATAAATTGACTTTAATATATTATTTTATCCGATTTAAATATAATTTTAGATGTTATAGATCTTATTTTGTAAAATAAAAATAATTATTGTCTTTGATGTCGAAACGTGGTAAAACATTACAGCATTATAGCTAACATTAAGTGTACCTAAAGATAAGAATCTTCATATTCGTTTGACATCTAAAAGTTGCAATTTTTTCACATATATAGGCGACTAAAGAAATTTTAAAAATTAAATTAGACTTTTATTAAAGTCTAAGTTCTTTTAAAATAAATAAGCAGGAAATATATGTCACAGAATTATTTAACGATCGAGAGCTATTCATAAAAGAGCTTTGCAAGCAGTCGAGAAAGTCAAGGAAACCTGACACAAGCGTTTTATATACTCGTCCACGCCACACGAGTTTGTAGTTTATAAGCGGTTCATGTTTCAGATACACCATATCGGTGCAATGGGATCATGTGGTGCCTGGATTCCCTTATATATCAGAGACCGGCACATTGTCACCAGAATCTTGCATATTTGCGCAATGCCTGAATGTCGCGGCTTTTTTACGATGTAACTTTTGTATAAATTAAATTGGATTTGTTATTTAGTTTGTTATTTAGAGAAAAAATTTTATAAATTAAATATATATTCTCTCTCTCTCT